CCCCTCCTCCCCCTCCTCCCCCTCGTCCCCCTTCCCCCCTTTCCCCTTTTCCCCCTTTCCCCCTGACGGCGGGGAGGCTGGGGGCGGTGGCGAGGGGGGGCAGGCATCTCGGCGCGCCGCGCGCGTGAAGTGCTGCGCCTGCACGCGCACGTGCACGGGGCCGAGAAGGTGCGACGGCAAGCAACAAGTGCGAAGGAGGAGCAGGAGGAGGAGAAGTAGGAGGAGGAGGAGGAGGAGGAGGAGGAGGAGGAGGAACAGGAGGTGGAGGAGGGGGAGGAGGAGGAGGAGGAGGGGGAGCAGTGTAAACCCAAGAGTAATCAACTATGTTGGGGTAAACCCTCCCTCCAAGCTACCTCTTCATAGGCCCCTACAACAGTCAAGTTCCATTGATGGAACTGCCTCGTTGGAAGGCACCCGTTTGAAGACCCTGAAGCCTGCCAAAACATTGTTCTCGGGATTCCAGCGCCACGGATCAACCTGACTGTTGCGTCTTGACGATCTTGGATCGTGCCAGAACGCCATTCCTAGGATTTCATTTCAAGAAAGAGAATCAACGTAATTGTTGCACCCGCATAATCTTGAATCTTTCCAGAACACCATTTCTGCTACGCTGATGATGGGAACGCGTGAAACTCTTGCAATTATTCTTAAACGAATGTGCACGGGGCTCAGGCGAGAGCCACATTTTGAAAACGACCCGCCCTCAACCCGTGAAGCTTTACATTTTGAAAAAGAGCCGCCCTCAACCTGTGAAGCTCTTGCAACATGTGTACAACGAATGTATGCCACGCTAAGGCGAGAGCCACATTTTGAAAAGGAGCCGCCCTAAATCCGTGAAGTACTTGCAATTCTTTAGCACGAATGTGCGCGGCGCTAAGGCGCGAGTGACACTTTGAAAAGGAGCCGCCCTCATTCCGTGAAACCCTTGCACCTTGTTAGCCAGAATGCGCGCCGCGCTAAGGCGAGAGCCACATTTTGAAAACGAGCCGCGCTAACGCGAGAGACACATTTTGAAAACGATCCGCCCTCCATTTGTGAAACTGGTGCCAATTTTTCAGCTTCAGAGTCATACATGGTGAGGAAGTCTCAGGCGAAACGCCCGGCCCGCCCGAAAAATTGCTTCGGGGTGCGACAGGGAGAAGTTATTTGCAAGAAAAAAGAATTGAGGAGGAGGGTGAGGAGGAGGAGGAGGAGGAGGAGGAGGAGGAGGAGGAGGAGGAGGAGGAGGAGGTCGAGGAGGTGGAGGACGCAGGACGCAGCATAGAACGGCGAAGCATCCGAGAACGCGACGACGACTATATGATACTGGGAGAGGGTGATGATGACACACCAGCCCTCTGAGGAAACCAAGCAAATTACGGCTTAGACTGGACGAGCCTGATGCCAGTTGCTGGATGCCTGCCTTCAGAGAGCCAGTCCATGGCTCGCCGGCGGGCAGGGTCGGGGGGCTTCGTGGGGCAGGGGTCACCAAGGGCCTCGATCTTGGCCGAGCCCAGGCAACTCGGGCCCCGCAGAGCCCACATAACAGGAAGGACTCTGCCCTGTGAATATGGTGCCCGTCGCACACTCCCACCCGCCTCCGCACCCAAACTGGCAGCCGCAGCGGCATAGGCAACCTCACCCTCCCCCTCGGCATGCTGGCGCCAGCCGAGCCGCTCGGCCAGAGCAGCAAGCTGGCGCAGCATCGGCCCGGGCTCACACCCAGCCCCTGGCTTGAGCAAAGACTTGCCTCTGGCTGGTGTCCGAGCAACCGCCAAACATTGCCTGCACTGCAACGCCGAGGAACCAGGGGCCAGGGGCACGGTATCGTAGGGCGGCGGGAGCTGGCGGAAACAAGGCGAGGCCACCTCCGCGGGCGGAAGTCGGCGGAGCGACGCAGGAAAACGGGGTCGTGCTCACGGGCACCGGCGCGCAAGTTACCCGCGTTAGAGTCACGCGTGAGCGCGCTCGCTTCCAGTTTGGCATGCCAACGCTGGTGGCCCGAGCAAGCCGCGGGGTGAGGCCGCTATGTCCTAGTGTGCATAAGACCCTTCCCTTTTCGTCGATCAAGCGGCACGCAAGCCCGCAAGTCACATCGCTGGATGTCTGGGTGGTCCTCGCCGCGCCCCTGGCGGAATTCGGTGCGTGCGCTGCGGTCGTTTCGACTCCTCTGCTGTCTCAGGAGGTCGAGGAGGGCGCCCCAGGGCCTCGTCTGGAGGAGGAGGAGGAGGAGGAGGAGGAGGAGGAGGAGGAGGAGGAGGAGGAGGAGGAGGAGGAGAGTAGGAGGAGGAGAGGAGGAGGAGGAGGAGGAGGAGAGGAGGAGAAGGAGTGGAGGAGGAGGAGGAGGAGGAGGAGGGGAGGAGGAGGGGAGGAGGGAGGAGGAGTGGGGAGGGAGAGGAGGAGGAGAGGAGGAGGGAGGAGGAGGAGGAGGAGGAGGAGGACAATCGAGGACAATCGAGCGAGGGGCTTCGCGGTCGACTCGGCCGCCGCGGCCCCCGCCAGCGAGCCCACCCCAGAAACAGGGCTGGCCTCCACCTCCTTGATTCTCCCAGGGCAGAATAACCCAATCAGAGGAGCAACACGATGAGCATACCCTCTGGCTTGCTGTCGAGCGCATTCTGGCGGCAGGAGGAGAAGCCGTAGTTGTGACGCTCTACACCCGAGGACTCCACCGAGGCAGTGGCTCTGCGAGGTTGCCCAAGAACGTGCTTGAGACCCTGGGATACGCCCTTTATGCACGGCCCCAAATCAGCAACTCAATACTCCCAAAGGGCGAATGCCAAAAATGAGTCGGCACTGGTTAACCCAAGTACAAAAACTGCGCCGCCAGACTGCGCCCCGCGGTCTCTTGCCACGGTTTGAATACGTATTTGAACACACATATGGACCACCAGTAGCTTGGACAACACATGAACAACTATTGATCCCACCACTGATGGTTGGCTCACCATGCACATTGAGCGAGAAAGAACGCAAACATAATCCTCCAAGCCCAACTTAAAACTTATTCGCACATACTCCCCAGGCGGTTGTGGGAGACTATGGCACTGTAGTTGATGATGCCAGTTCCCAGCGTGTTTAACCCGCCTGGCGCGCTGTGCATGAACGGCAGAAGCTCCCGGTCCGTCTTCAAAAGTCCAGCTAGATACCCTCCCCTGCGGCTGTGGGAGATTTCAGCACCATAGCAGATCAAACCAGGTTCCAGCGCCGTGCCTGCTTGAGTCGGCCACAGGTCCAGCATCACTTGATGACGAACGACGGGGCGATCCCAACAGCTACACTCCGATGCCAGCCCTTGAAAGTACACGATGAGCACCAGCGACTTTAGCATGTCCCCTGACACCCCCTCAAGTTTCGGGCCCTGGTCCACCGCAGCTTAGCCGACAACAGTCAGGACGGTACGCGCGCTGGTGTGGCACCAAGCTCCCATCGCCGAGTGAGCCAAAACGGGCGGGGGAGGCTGACTTGGGCCGAGAACTTGAGGAAGGAGGAGGAGGAGGAGGAGGAGGAAGAGGAGGAGGAGGAGGAGGAAGAAAAAGAAGTGGAGGACGGGGGAGAAAGGAGGAGGAGGAGGAGGAGTGAGAAAAGGAGGAGAAAAGAGGGGAGGAGGAGGACGAGGAAGAGGAGGAGGAGGAGGAGGAGGAAGGAGGAGGAGGAGGGACGAGGAGGAGGAGGAGGAGGAGGAGGAGGAGGAGGAGAGGAGGAGGAGGAGGAGGGAGGAGGAGGAGGAGGAGGGAGTGGAGAGGGTAGGGGGAGGAGGAGAGGAGGAGGAGGAGGAGGAGGAGTACGAGAGGAGAGGAGGGGAGGAGGAGGAGGAGGAGGAGTTGTCACGAGGAGGATGAGGAGCAGGAGGAGGGGGAGGCGGCGGAGGAGGAGGAGGAGGAGGAGGAGGAGGAGGAGGAGGACGACGACGACGACGACCCTCCTCCCAGCCAGCGCCTTCTCCGTCTTGCGCGCCGCTGGGCCGCCGCCCCGCGCAGGCGCCCCGCGGGGCCCCGCGGCAGCATGCGAGCGGCCCGCCCCGCCTGCCGTGCCGCCGCGAGGCGGGGGCCAAGGGCGGGGCTCCGCCGGGCCGCGCTGCCGAACACCGCTGTCGAGGACGACGTCGACGACGACGACGACGATCAGGACGAGGATGAGGACGAGGACGATGACGACGACGCCGCCGACGACGACGACGACGACGACGATGACAACGACGAGGACCTGGACGAGGACGAGGACGATGACGTGGACGAGGACGAGAACCAGGACGTGGACGTGGACGCCGACGGCGACGACGACGAGAACGCAGACGACGTCGACGCCGCCGCCGTCGCCGGCGAGGACGAGGACGAGGGCGACGACGCCGGCGGTGGCGGCGGCGGCGGCGGCGGCGGCGGCGACGACGACGACGACGACGACGACGACGACGACGACGAAGACGAAGACGAGGACGACGACGGCCGACACGAGGCGTTCCAGAGAGGGCCTTGCCTTCGAGAGTCGAAGGACTTGGCACCTCCTCCTCGGCGGAGGGCGGCGAGAGGCTGACGGCGTGCGGCAGACACGAGACGAGGGCGGCATCGCGGGCGGAGGCAGGCGGCGGAGGGCGGCGGAAGCAGAAGCTGCGCCCCCCCCCCAAGAGCCGCTGCCTGAGCCTGCAGGAGCAGGGGCCGAGACCCCCCCGCGTCGTGAACAAAGTCCTCCTCCTCCTCCTCCTCCTCCTCCTCCTCCTCCTCCTCCTCCCCCTCCTCCTCCTCCTCCTCTCCCCCTCCTCCTCCCTCCTCCTCCTCCTCCGCCTCCTCCTCCTCCTCCGCCTCCTCCTCCTCCTCCCACTCCTCCGCCTCCTCCTCCTCCTCCTCCTCCTACTCCTCCTCCTGCTCCTCCTCCTCCTCCTCCTCCTCCTCCTCCTCCTCCTCCTCCTCCTCCTCCTCCCCAGGGAGCCGGCTGGGGGGCCACAGGAGTGGCTGGGCACACACCAGGCAGTGCCAAGGGGGGTCACCACTTCCCCAGACCCCCTCGCGTCGTGAAAAAAATCATGACAGGCGGTTTTTCGCTATCGTCAGCCTCTGGGGGCCTTTGCTGGGCACTGGGAGCGTCAACAAACGATTCAGGACGAAAAGCCGGTCCTAGGGAAAGAGTCCGGACCTCTGGGGGTCGAGGTTGTGAAAAAATCACGCCGTCGGGGGTCTGGGGGGTGTGCATGCGCCTGTATGGGCTCAAAGCCAGGAAGGGCGAAGCACATATAGAGTTGACGTGGTCGCGGACGGAGCGTGGGCTCAGATTTCCTGATCGGCCGCCATGCGCCTCTGTCGAGAAAAATATCTGGGCTCAAAGCCACCCTCTGTTCCCAGGCCTCCTACGTCTCGGCCTCCGGGGGCCTCTGCCGGGCCCTGCGGGGCCGTCAACGCACGGCCGGAGGCGATCGGCGGAGGGCGGCGGAAGTTGAAGAGGTGCTCCCCGGAGGTGCAGCCTGAAGCTATCAGGACGAGCCACGCCGGTGGCTGAAAGGAGGTGTTTTCGAATCGTCGGATCCCAGTCTGGTTTGAGCGCCCTCCTACCTCGAGGGTCGAGTGGTTTCGCCTGCTCCCTCCTCTTTCCGGGGGCGGGCGGAGGCCGAGTCTGCTTGCAGCGCCTTCCTGCTTCGTGCTTCTGGCTGCCGACGTCTCCCGACCGACGGGCACGGTCGGACCGAGGCATCAGATCGAGGCCGGTTCGAGGAGGGCACCCTCGTGTGCTTCGTGCTTGCTGGACGTTCTCGTGCATCCCGGCGGGGGGGCACCCTCGAGGCCGGCGGCGCAGGCACCGGCCAGCCCCTCCGGGCCGGGCCGGCTCCTCGCCTCCTCGGCCTGTCTCCTCCTCGCTCCCCCGTGCACGTCATGAAGTTGGGCAGGGTGCTCCAGCTCCTCCTCCTCCTCCTCCTCCTCCTCCTCCTCTCTACCTCCTCCTCCTCCTCCTTCCTCTCTCCTCCTCATCCTCCTCCTCCTCTCCTCCTCTTCCCTCTTCCTCCTCCTCCTCTCCTCCTCCTCCTCCTCCTCCTCCTCCAGCTCCTCCTCCTCCAGCTCCTCCTCCTCCTCCTCCTCCTTCTCCTCCTCCTTCTCCTCCTCCTCTGAGCCATTTTGGCCTCCTCCCTCCCTCCTCCGCCTCCGTTTCCCAGTGTCCAGCGCTTGTCCGGGGTAGCTTCGTGGGGAGGCGCGGCTGCCGTGTGTAGAGTGATGGTCGTGAGGTGTACCTGCGGAAGCCTCCCATCGTAGCGGAGGCATTGCCATCTCTGGCCACCCCTCTGCTGTCCCCCGCTCCTGACGCGCGGTGTTTTCGCCCCAAGGCCGCCCCCAAACGTTTCCTCTCAAGAGCTCTGCGCGAAGTGCCACCCGCAAACGTGTCATGACCAAGGTTGCGCGCCGTGGTGATACTCTTAAGCTTCAAACGCAATGCTCTAGCCTCGAGGGCCTTCCGAGCCTCTACAGTAGATGCCAAGAAACCGGATTTGCTAGCCTGCAACAGGAACCCCGCTCGCCTAGTGTACCCAGCAAAGCAAGTTACAGCACTGAAGACGATGCCTGCATGTTTGACCGCCTTGCCAACCCACTGGAATGATACATCATCAATGAGGCGTCGGGGCACTATAAGCTCAACCTCACACTTAAGTCTCTGGAGCGTTCTCGAAAACAGGACTTGCATCAAGGTGGTGGCATGGCAGCATCCCGCCAACATCCCCTGGTACGACGAGTAGGGGGCACTCACAGTGTTGAATCCCTTGATGAGGCAGGGCTGCTGGTATACGCAATCTATCTTCCAACCAATCTTAATGGAAATCCTACCGCGGCAGCCTCGAGCAAGGTGGCACTGTTTGGTATCATAGCATAGCATTTGAACATACCGATTAAGTCAGAGACACAGTGAAGGCCAGTGTTTCGAGCGATCTCCGCCTCGAAATTGAGAAACGGCGCAATCCACGCTGCTGCGCCCGGAGCCCTAGTCCCAAAGGAGGTCCGACTGGCGCCCCGCCTCCCACTCCACCGCCACAGGACGCCTCACCCTCCCCCAAACCCTGATGGGAGAGCGCAGCAGCGCAATCAGGCGATGCTCACCTCGCTTGTCGGCCTTTGGGAACCCGACCAGCTCAGTGGCGATGCGCTCGGCGGGGCACATACAGAGGGCCTCGAGGTCATTGCTGCTCAGCCACCGCGGCGCCAGCCGCGACGGCCCGACCCAGCTGCACCCAGGCACTGGCTTGGCGGGAGTGCGCGCGGCTCCCGCGGGACCCTGCACCACAGGGCCCTGTCGCTACCAAGGACCTCCAAGTCAACGGGCCTGCGCGGGCACGTCGTCGCGCACTCGCCCACCGCGGGAAAGCCTACTCCCGAGAGCAGCTTGGCGTCCACCCCGAAGCAGCCCAGCCCTGTGCCGGGGAGAGTCTGCCCGCGGGTGGCCTCGGCCGTCGCCAGGAGCACGGCTCCGACCGAGCTAAAGGAGGAGGAGGAGGAGGAGGAGGAGGAGGAGGAGGAGGAAGAGGAGGAGGAGGAGGAGGAGGAACCAGGGCTCGACGACGGCAGGCTCCGTGCTGAAGCCGCCGGCGACGATCCAGGCCACGCCCTTGGCAGCAAGAACAGACCCTCCGCGTGCAGGATGCTCAGACTGCAGGCTGCAGGCCCCACGGAGTCGTGGATGTAGACCGACACGCAGACTGTGCCGCTGGGCACTCTCCAGTGAACGTGACCCGCCACCGCTCGCCCCGGGACGATATCGCCATCGGCGCGGCCAGGGGGGCAGCGTCACAGTGACGCCGCGCCGAGCCAAGACAAGGAGCAGGAAGAGGAGGAGGAGGAGGAGGAGGAGGAGGAGGAGGAAGAGGAGGAGGGGAGGAAGAGGAGGAGGAGGAGGAGGAGGAGGAGGGAGCAGGAGGCGGAGGAGGACGAGCAGCGGCCAGAGGGGGTCAGAGAGAGGAGATGGAGGAGGAGGAGGAGGAGGAGGAGGAGGAGGAGGAAGAAGAAGAAGAAGAAGAAGAGGAGACGGAAGGAGGACGAGCAGCGGCAGCAGCAGCAGCAGCAGCAGCAGAGGTTTCCTCCTCCCCGCCCAGATGGCGCGGTGCCCTGGGCACGTGGCCGGCGGCCGGCGGGCCGCGCAGGAGAGGCGCGCTCAGGCGGGCGGCGGTTGCGGGCACCCGCGCGTCTTGGAGAGGAGGAGGAGGAGGAGGAGGAGGAGGAGGAGGAGGGGAGGAGGAGGAGGGAGGGGGGAGGAGGAGGGGGGAGGACGAGGAGGAGGAGGAGGAGGAGGAGGAGGAGGAGGAGGAGGAGGAGAGGAGGAGGGGAGGAGGAGGAGGAGGAGGAGGAGGAGAAGGAGGAGGAGGAGGAGGAGGAGGAGGAGGAGGAGGAGGAGGAGGAGGAGGAGGAGGAGGGGAGGAGGGAGGAGGAGGAGGAGGAGGAGGAGGAGGAGGAGAAGGAGGAAGAGAAAGAGAAGAGGGAGGAACAGGAGGATGAGCAGGAGGAGGGGTTCAAGCTGGTTGCGGGAGCTCGATCCAACGCGCTCAGGAGGGGCGTCAGGTTCATCGTTCCCGCAGGGCTGTTCGGCCACTGACCTCGCGATGGCGTGGGACGCTATTGGGATGTGTATGACAAGCGTGCGAAGAAGACGGGCAGTCCATACGTGGTGCGCCAGAGCTGCAACGCATGGCGGTTCACAGCCAAAGCGAAGAAGAAAGTTTGGTGCAAGTGCTGCGTCGCCTTCCAATCCCACGAGGAACGGGAGGAGGTCATGATGAAGGACCCTCACAGGACATGAAGCTTCGGCGACTCCAGAGTCTAGTACGCGAACCATCTTGGGTGCCATCCTCGGGGCACTCACGGACCCCAGAAGGCGCAGCTCGGCGGTGAGTTCAATCGGCGGCAGCGTTGGTGGTACCCAAACAGACCACACCAGTGGCGGCAGCAGACCCTGCACTTCAGGAATTTGGCATCATGAGCAAAAGGCAACTGGGCTTGAAGAACACATCGGGAAGCTGGACGCCGAGCTCATCAAGGCCAGGGTGGATCACGAGCAGGTCACCAACGAGCTGGTCGACGCGAGGCAAATACTCGAACAGGCCAGCGTCGAGGCGACGGCCCAGTGGCAACCTGAAGCTCGGGGACAACCACCAGGTCCCGGAGCAGCGTGGCCGCCGGCCCGAGCAGCAGCAGCACCGCAAGCACCAGCACAAGTACGTCAGGCACTGGGAGGCTTCACGGGGCTCTAGCAGCAGAGGTGGCCCCGTGCCTTCCTCCAGCAGGTGGCGGAAGCGCCCGCGCGACGACGGGCTCTTCCACCTGTGCATGCGCTTCGTCCAGGCGGGATCTCTTGGCCTGTTTTGTGCCAGCACGAGGCAGACCTCTTGCGAGAAACCGAGAAGCCGAGAAACCCCTCACGCACGTCGCCGTGGGGCAGCAGCAGCAGCAGCACCCGCCGCAGGAGGGACGCGCCGTACGGGCAGGCGGTGCGAGGGGGGGAGGGGTCGAGGCTCCCCTGCGCGTGCCCCTCCGCCAAGGCGCAGCCGCCTCGTCCCTGGCAGGGGCAGCGGGGGAGCCGGCGCTGATGAAGAGCCTGTGATATAGTGTGTGTGTGTGTGCATGACACGCACGTGCGCCACTCGCTGCCGTTTGACCCTCCAGGGGCCCTTTTTTCAAAAGGCGCACAACGCATCCCAAATCACATCCGCCGTTCCAGTCGAAGCACCAGCTGAGGAGGCACCAGAGCCAGACCTCGTCAGCCAATCCAGCTTGACAGATGCGCAATCAAGCGTTGCCAGCGTAGCAGACGATCTTGGCCCTCTGATCGAGGAAGCGGCTGTCATTGCCAAGGGAGTTGCGGGACACCTTCCGCCTCGTCGGTGCGAACAGTCTGCCCCAGCCGAAACGTTGCGAATCGACTTAGCTAACATCAAGAAGTGGAGCCCCAGCGTTCCAAAGAGCACGATTAGTCAGAATATGTCTAGAAGGCCCACGCCATTATGTTGAGGGGTATGCACTGATCGCTAGGTTGCGTCATAGAAGTCGACGAGCTCATGCGTAAGCAAGGGTGCAGGTCGTACCTTTGCCCAGCTCAAGAGCTCTCACGGATGGGCACGCATAGGGGCGTCGCAATTTGCACGCAACGGCAGTTGCACTCACATGCTGGAAGTCTCGGAACAATTGGACAGCAAACACCACTCTATAGGGGGAGGGGGGCTGGTTGGACCGGGTGTCCGTTGAGATTGCGCGGCCAAAGTATCCGTGCGATTTCCGCACGCATGCAGTGCGGCGCGGGATATAGCGGTTATGAGTTGAAGGTGTGCGGCGAGATAACCACCTTCATCCGAGCTTCGAAGCCGCCGTGCATCCTGGGATGGCATTGGACTCTGACAGCTCAGGAGCTCACAGGTGGGGTCGTCGTGCAGCCAGGTTATATCTCCACGTGCGCTGGCCGCGGGATCGATGTTTTCATCGCGCCCCGTACCTCAGTTCGCAAATCTGCTGAGGGCTGGGACGGACAGGGCCGGCCCATGGAGACCACGCGTAGGGGGGTACGGGGGGAGTCCCGCGCAGAGATCTTCAGCAGATCGCGCAGGTATTCCCTAGAGGCCCACGCTCACGTGACTTCCAACCCTGGGGCCGCGCCGGCCGAGGCCATCACCCATGGCGCCCGGGACCACCGGGGCTCCGATCTGACCCAGGACTTCGCCGCTCCGTCTCGGGGCCTGGAGCGGCGGAGCTCGGCGCGGCGTGGGCGCGAGGGGCGCGACCGAGCCCTGCCCGTTCAGGCTGGGGCCGAGCGTTTTCGAGGCCACCCCGCCAGGGGCCCGACGGGGGTCCAGAGATGAGGAAATTGAGGAGAAGGAGGAGGAGGAGGAGGAGGAGGAGGAGGAGGAGGAGGAGGAGGAGGAGGAGGAGGAGGAGGGGGGGAGGAGGGAGGAGGCGTCCGCGCGCCTTGGCCACTACTTCCGCTGGCGCTGGAGACCGGCGGCCGCCGCGGCAAGGCGGCACTCCAGCAGCTGCGCTGGCTGGCGCGGGACCAGGCGCAGGGCCTCGGCGACGGCCCCTCTGTGGCGGCGGCCGCCAGCGCGCATGGCTCGGCGGTGGGGCGCCGAGCTCAGCGTGGCGCTCCACCGGGCCACCGCCCGGCAACTCTGCACAGCCGTGGGCTGCGAGAGCCGGGCGGCGGGGGCGGCCCGGCTGGCTGCGGAGCTCGCCGGCTGAGCCGGTGAGCCGGCGCGCCAGCGGGCGACCGGCGCTGGGCTGGCCAGGAGGGGTCGGGGCTCCACACCATCGTCGCGGTGCTCGTGGAGTTCAGAGTAGTGGGGTGCGAAAAGGAGCCCCTCGGACCGAGGAGGAAGAGGAGGAGGAGGAGGAGGAGGAGGAGGAGGAGGAGGAGGAGGAGGAGGAGGAGGAGGAGGAGGAGGAGGAGGAGGAGGAGGAGGGAGGCGGCGCCGCGCAACAGCGCCTGCGGCAAAGGGATCACCACTTCAAGAAGAACTCCACGGGGCCTCGAGGCCTGCAGGGCCCACCGAGTTGTCCAGCACGCACGGCTGCAGTTGGATTGGGCGGCCGACCTGACCTCGCTCAGGCCCAGATCTTATTTTGCCAGAGTGCTCGCGCTTCGACGAGCACGGGAAAGTTTCGAGTTTCACAGGCTGGATGGCTTCAGCGTCAAAGATGGGCAGGGGGGGATAGGGGGCAGGGGGCGGAAGCCGCCCCCGAGGGAGCCGATGACGTAATCCCAGAAGATGAGGTCATCGCGGGGCTCCAACAGAGTCGGAAGTGCAAGGCTGCGTTCTGGGCCTAGCATTGGGGCCCGCAAAGGAAGACGGCGGATGCCCCGATCACAGAACAGAACAGGACCATGGACCCAGGAGATCAGGATGGAGGCTGTTGAGGACAGGGGCATGGAAGAGGACCGGAGTTCGGAGCACGCAGGAAGAGCCATCAATACTTTCCCAGGGCGTTCTTCCGCAGGTATCGACCAGTGGAGAGTCCGAGATTGCCAGCGTCTGCCTCGAGCGGGGTTAGGACCGTCAAAACATGATTTACGATGACAAACTGGTCCTGGGGAGCGGGTCCAGACCTCGGGGGGTCGACGCTGCGAAAGAAAACACGAAATCGGGGGTCTGAGAACGAGGTGCCTCCAATGGTGTATATCCGCCCTTGGACCCCTTCCTATCATCGGGAACCCATCCCTCAGGAGGGGGGCGGGGGGATTGTGGGAGGGGGAGGAGGGATAGGGGACCTGCGGTGGGCAGGTGCTGGAGAAACGGCCGGGGCTCGCACAGCGGGGGTCAGCGGTAAGAGGGGGCAGCCAATCCCCCTGGCTGGCCCGGATTTGGAAGCCGAGCGGGGCCGATTTCCGTGGTCCGCCCTCCGCTGGCCCGGGCGCGGAGGCTATTGAGCGGCCGGCCCCGCTGCGCGACAGGGCCCTGGCAGACCCGAGTGTGCGCGGGCCTTGATAGGGAGGGGCGCCAGCGGGCAAGGCCCAGGCAAGGGTTAGGATGGACATTGGGGGTGCGGGGGCGGAGTGGGCGGGCAACGGGGAAGGAGAACAAGGAGGAGGAGGAGGAGGAGGAGGAGGAGGAGGAGGAGGAGGAGAGGAGGAGGAGGAGGAGGAGGAGGAGGAGGAGGGGGGAGGGGAGGAGGACGGGAGGGGGAGGAGGAGGAAGGAGGAGAGGAGGAGGAGGAGAGGAGGAGGAGGAGGAGGAGAGGAGGAGGAGGAGGAGGAGGAGGAGAGGACGACGACGACGAGACGACGACGACGACGACGACGACGAGGAGGGAGGAGGAGGCGGAGGAGGAGGGGAGGAGGTGTGAAGGAGGAGGAGGAGGAGGAGGAGGAGGAGGAGGAGGAGCGAGGAGGAGGAGGGGGAGGAGGAAGAGAAGTTGTCGTGAGGAGGTGGGGATGGAGAAACTCTTGCCCTCGAGGGCAGCCTCGCGCTGGTAGGGTGGCGATCAGCCTGTCACATCCAGCGCAGCAGCGCCTTGATTTCGTACCCAGACATGCGACGTCCTGATTTTTTCAGGTTCGGCGTCCCCGGAAGTCCCGACCCTTTCCCCGTGGCCGGTTTTTCGCCCCGACTCGTTGTGTGACGGCCCCGGGGCCCAGCGAGGGCCCCCCAGGGCCGAAAATAGTGAACAACTAGCCGTTCTGTTTATTTGTGTCTTGTATATACCTGTATATATATATATATACACACACAGGTATGTGTATATATATATATATATACACATACATACATACATGCATACATACATACATACAGACAGACAGACAGACAGACAGACAGACAGACAGACAGACAGACAGACAGACAGACAGACAGACAGACAGACTTACATACGAACATACATACATACATACATACGTACATACCTATATACCTACCTACCGACCTACCTACCTACCTACCTACCTACCTACCTACCTACCCACCCACCGACCTACCTTCCTACACACCTACCTACCGACCTACCTACCTACCTACCTACCTACCTACCTACCTACCTACCTACCTACACACATACATACATACATACATGCATGCATGCATGCATGCATACATACATACATACATACATACATACATATATATATATATACATATATATATATATATATATATATATATCGACGCGACCACGTCTGGGTATCGCCCAGCCCCGATCGCACCGTGGAGTGTGCTCGCGTGGCATCTCCATTCGGGAGGTAACGAAGGGCATCTTGCATGACACAGGGGGGCTCTGCACACCCAGGTCAGTGTACGTGCCTGGGCGTGCGCTCGTCGAACAACTCTTCCTCCTCCTCCTCCTCCTCCTCCTCCTCCTCCCCTCTCCTCCGCCTCCGCCCCTCCTCCTCTTCATCTCGTCCCCCTACTCCTCATTCCCCTCCTCCTCCTCCTCCTCCGTCCTCCTCCTCTCCTCCTCCGCCTCCTCCTCCTCCTCGTCCCCCTCCTCCCTCCTCTCCTCCTCCTCCTCCGCCTCCTCCTCCTTTTCCTCCTCCTGTTCACTCCTCCTCCTTTCCTCCTCCTCCTTCTCCCTAGACACATGGTTTCTCCGCGTTGCACCCTGGCGCCAGGTCGATTGTCGGGTGGTTACGCTCTATCATGTCCTTCCTCCTCCTCCTCCTCCTCCTCTCCTCCTTCTTCCTCCTCCTCCTCCTCCTCCTCCTCCCTTTCCTCCTCCTCCTCCTCCTCCTCCTGCTTCTGGGTCGATTGTCGGGTGGTTGCGCTCTCTCACGCTCCTCTCCTCGTGGCGAAGAACCAGGGAGAGCGGCGACGCGGGACCGCGGACGCTTTGGGATGCTGCCCGCCAGGCGCTGGTTCTCCCTCTACCGCACCCCGGGGCAGACCTCGGCCACGGCGGTGGTGGAGCACCACGTCAAGGCGCCCTCCCCCGCCGGGGTCATAGGCCGCAAGGGCGCTGGGAGGGTGGCTGCACTCGACGCAGCCAGCAGGGGCCCGAGCTGGATGCACGCCTGAGCGGCGAGAAGGAGCGGCTTCGATTGCGCGGCCATTCGCGCGTAGGCGGCCCGCGTAGGGCCGCGCGCGAGCGCCTTGGTTTCCAGTGCAGCGTGCCGCGGTGGCGGCCCGCGTCAACCACCGCGCACGGTCGTTGTGCCATCTCGCGTCCGACCCTTCCTTGCCGTAGCCCGCGTGGCACAAGGGGTCCTGGGGCGGCTTCGCGGGGCGGCGCGGAGGGCTCTGGGGCGGCTGTCTGGCAGCTCGTTTTCGTTACATGTGTGCGCCGTTTCCGCGCGGGGCGTCCTCGGTCGTTCCCGATTGCTGTCGCTCCCCTACTCCCACTCCCTTCTCCTTCTAGATAATAACTTTAAGTCGGACCTGTCCCTCTACAGGGGCAATATGCAAAAATAGTGAAACAATAGTTTGGGGACTATTTGTTTTAGCATTTCTTGGCCATTCTGGGGCATTTTTAGAACATGTTTTATTATTTGTTCGTCGAAAATCCCCCTGTAGGCGGACATGCCCGACTTAATAATAGATAATAGCCCCTCCCTGCCGCACCACCGGATGTGTCCGTAGGCCGGGCCGTGCGCTTTGCCTGAGGAAGCCCTGCAAATTACGATCCTGAAGACTGAGGTTTGCAACAGCTTCAAGGATGGGGTCTGGGTTGTTTTGTTTTCAAAATGTGGCTCTCGCCTCAGCGCCGTGCACGCTCGTCTTCAAAGTATAGCATTGGTTTCAAGGATGGAGCCCAGGTGGTTTTCGGAAATTTAGCTCTCGCATTAGCGCCGCGAACATTCGTCTTCCGAAAATGCAACAGTTTTGAGGGTAGATCCCGGTCGGTTTTCACAATGTGGCTCTCGCATTCGCGCCGCGGACATTCATCTTGACAAATTGCAGAAGCTTCAAGGATGGAGACCGGCTCGTTTTCAAAATGTGGCTCTCGCCGTAGCGCCGCGCACATACATCCATACGACCCAACCCTTTCTTGGGGTCTTTTGGGGGGTTCTTGGGCGTTTGCCTGCAGTTTCAGGTGTTTTACTGGGGCGGATGTTTCGACATGTGAATCCCGCTTATCTTTCCTGGGTCTCTGTCGTGGCCTTGTTGGGGTCTTCTTGGGCCGTCTTGGGTGCCTCTTGGGCCGTCTCGTGGCCTTCTTGGGCGGTTCGGGAGCCCTCAGGGGGGCTGGTTCAGTCACTCTGGTGGAGCGATCTTGCGGGCCTCTTGAATTGTCTCGGATCTTGAAACCCCATCGCGAAGACCCTTTTGGAGCCCTCTTGGGGCGTCTTCGAAGCCACTGGGGCCGTCTTGGGGCGCTCCTGGGTGCCTTTGAGATTTCCTCTGCGTGCTGGAGCCCAGTTGGAGCAAGTTGAGATGGAATATCAGGCTTCTTGGAGGCCACGGAGCTTAGAATTCTTGACGTTTCGCGTATTCCCACCAGTCTGCCGCTGGCTCCCCTCGGCACTGGGAGGCGGATTTCTGAGGACCGGGCGCTGAGTGGTTCAGCCTACAACGCCTGTACAGCCTTTGGTTTTCCCCCGCACACTGTCTCGGTTACACCGCACAGCCGTTCGGCTTGTGCAGGTCGGCAAGGAGTCTGGCGCCGCCCTGGCGACTCACTTCGTTGCATCCGCACATTCTTCTCGGCGGCCTGTCCACTGCGGTTCGCGCTGCTGCGCCTATGCGCGCTTGCTTGTGAATTTAGTTCATTTTGTTATGTGCACGTGCAACTGCGAGTTTGTCTTGCGGGTGCGAGCTCTATCCGCCGACACTGGCGGCTTTGTTTGAAAATTCGCCCCGTACCGTGTCCCGGACGCCGCTTTCGCTCCTTGTCCGTTGCCTCGGAGCTGCCGACCAAAAAAAGTATTCCCACCAGTTTCATTCGCTTGCACATTAGCCCCGTACCGTGACCCGGACGCCGCTTCCGCTCCCTGTCCGTTGCCTCGGAGCCGCCGACCAAAAAGTATTCCCACATGTTTTTCTCGCCGGTCCACCGCTGAGGTGCTGCGTGAGGCTCCGCTTAGCCCCGCTTTAGGTGAGGCTGCGCCCCGCTGTTTTAGGTGAATTCGTCGCTGCGTGCCCCGCTTTGACTGGACTCGCCGCTGGCGCGCTCGCCCGCGGCCGCTGATTAAAAAGTGTTCCCACCAGCCCATCCACAAACGATGCCCAGGCGAGTTGCCTTGATCACAGAAGCAGACGAACATGCAGTGGATCAAGAGCTGGGGAAGCCCGTCAAACTGAAGTCTTGGATCAGCCTGCGCAGACACAGGAGCGAACTGTATCGCTTTCGCGGACCTGCCAAATGAGGAATGGCGGGGAAGAAGGACGAGGGGGGTGAGGGAGAGCAGGAGGAGGAGGAGGAGGAGGAGGAGGAGGAGGAGGAGGAGGAGGAGGAGGAGGAGGAGGAGGAGGAGGAGGGAGGAGGAGAAGACGAAGGACGAGGAGGGAGGAGAGGAGGAGGAGGAGGAGGAGGAGGAGGAGCAGGAGGAGGAGGAGGTTGAGGAGGAGGAGGAGGAGGAGGAGGAGGAGCAGGAGGAGGAGCAGGAGGAGGAAGGAGGGGAGGAGCAGGAGGAGGAGCAGGGAGGAGGAGGAGGAGGAGGAGGAGGAGGAGGAGGAGGAGGAGGAGGAGGAGGAGGAGGAGAGGAGGAGGAGGAGGAGGAGGAGGAGGAGGAGGAGGAGGAGGGGGGGGGGAGGGGGAGCAGGGAGAATGAAGAGGGATAAATAGGCGGGTGAAGAGGAGGAGGAAACGGAGGAGGAGGAGGAGGAGGAGGGGGAGGAGGAGGAGGAGGAGGAGGAGGAGGAGGACAATAGCGAGTTTGTCGACTTCTTGGGGAGTCTTGGTTGCCTCTTAGCGGTCCTGGGGGCCTCTTGCGTACCTCAGGGGGCCTTTTGGGGCCTCTTGGGGGTCTTTTGGAAGCCGTTTGGAGGCCTCTTGGGCTCCTCTCGGGGCCTCCTTGGCGCCTATTTGGACCCACTTGGGGCGCTCTTGGAAGACTTGGGGACGCTCTTGGAGCCATCTTGGAGGACATCGATTCAAGAAGGGAGGAGCTTAAATTGTTGACGCTTCGCGAATCCCCACCAGCCCATCCAGAAACGATGCCCAGAGGAATTGCCTTGATCAGGGAAGTGGGCAGCACACAGAGGAAGCCATTACGAGACAACTTGGGATACCTTGAGCCATCTTGGAGGTCATGGTGGGCTCTCCCAGGCGCTCTGGATCTTAATCAGTGCCCCCCCAAGAGGCCAGCATGTGGCTAAAACCTTCGTGAAAACAATGATTTGGCATTCTCGCCGAGGCCTCGTGGAGCATCTTGGGTGCCTCTGGGGGGTCTCTTGGGGCCTCTTGGGGGCCTCCTCGGGGCCTCTTAACGTCTCCCCCCCCCCCCCCCCAGAGGCCAAAATGGGACCAAAACTTTAGTACAACCAATGATGTTGGCTTCCTCGCCGAGGCCGTTTTGGCATTCTCGCCGAGGCCTCTTGGAGCATCTTGGGTGCCTCTGGGGGGTCTCTTGGGGCCTCTTGGGGGTCTCTTGGGGGCATCCTGGGGGCCTCTTGGGGGCCTCTTGGGGCCATCTTGGGGCCATGTTGGGCAATCTTGGGACCTCTTGGGGCCTCCTGGGCGCTTCTTAGAGCCATCTTGGAGGAGATCGATCAAACAAGAGGGGAGCATTAATTAGCCCCCCCCCCCCAGGAGGTCAAAATATGGCCAAAACCATAGTATCACCTATGATTTTGGCTTCCTCGCCGAGGCCGTTTTGGCATTCTGGCCGAGGCCTCGTGGAGCATCTTGGGTGCATCTGGGGGGTCTCTTGGGGCCTCTTGGGAGTCTCTTGGGGGCCTTTGGGGGGCCTCTTGGGGCCATCTTGGGGCTATCTTGGGGCCTCTTGGGGCCTCCTGGGCGCTTCGTGGGGCCATCTTGGAGGAGATCGATCACAGGAGGGGGGGGTGCTAATTAGGTCCCCCCCCCCAGGAAGCCAAAATGGGGCCCAAACCATAGTAAAACCAAGGATTTTGGCTTCCACGCCGAGGCCGTTTTGGACGCCCTGACATCTCGCGAAACCCCCCGTCCAGGTCCAGGGGAGGGGGTAGGGGGAGGGGTCAAGACTCCCCCCCGGCCGCAAGCCGTCTCGCTTACTCCCACCCGCCCTCCCAACACATACGTAGCAGCCGCCGCCTTCGCCGCCTTCGCCGCCGCCGCCGCCGCCGCCACCGACGCCGCTGCCCGCCGCCGCCGCCGCGCCGCAGCCGAGGGGTAAACCCCTCCTCGAAGGGGAAGAAGGAGGGGTGGAAGAGGAAACTCCCTAAACCTTTGTGGGCCCCGGGAACGGCAGGGCTGTTTTTTCACCGTTTCCCAAAAAATGCCCATTGAAAATGGAAACGGCAAAAAAAAAGGCGACCGGAAACGGCAAAAAAACGGCTCCAGGATTGGAACTGGAGCCGGAACCGGTCAAAAAACGGCGACGGAACTGGTAGCAAAAACGGCGTCGGAACCGGCAACAAAAACGGCAAAACGGAACCGGTAAAAAAATTGCCCTGTCGTTTCCAGGGCCCACTAAGCCCTAAACCACCGACGCCCAGAGGGCTGGTAGGATTAGCCTTGCCCCTCTGGAGTGCCTGGAATCGTCTCTTGGAGCGCTCTTGGGGCCCTCCTGGGCGCTCTCAGGGCCGTCTTGGGGCTCTCTCAGGCCTCTCTTGGGGGTTCCTGGAGCTCTCTTGGAGCTGCCTCAAGGTCTCGGAAGGCCATCGGAAGCAAAACAAAGGCGAGAAGGCACACATCGTTGAGTATCCTACGGTGCTTGAAGGGTTTGGGCCTCTTGGCGGCCTCTGTGAGACGCTGCGTGGCCACTTGGGGCCATCATGGAACGGTATTGGGGCTTCTTGGAGCATCGCGGGAGCCATATTGAGGCATCTTGGGCTATCTTGTGCCATCTTGGAGGTCATCTTGGGCTCTCTAAGGCCCTCTTGGAGCCGTCTTTGGGCCCTGACCCCTCACGACCCCCCCCTCCAGGTCCAGGGGAGGGGGTATGGGGAGGGCTCAAGCTTCCCACCCGCCCGCAAGCCGTCTAGCTCACTCCCACCCGCCCTCCCAACACATAAGTGACACCCGAGCCTGAGCATAATCAGCGGTCGTCTTTGGATGGGCAGCTACTGTGAACCAACGCCGACCCCAGGTTCGCGACGCTTGGGCAAGGTGCGCCACGCGTGCCAGGGGCGCCACGCGCGCCAGGCACTCATGTGGCCCGAGCGTGCCAGGCACGCCTGGTGCGCCAGATGCGCCACGTGCTCCGAGTGCGGCAGGTGTGCCGCACACTCCAGTCGCGCCAGGTGCGCCATGTTCGGGTCACGTGCAGAGTGCGTCAGGTGTGCCTGCGCACGTGATAGCACGCATCGGGAACCATGTCGGCCCCCGCCATCCTTGTCGAAAACCAATGCCCATCATTGTGTCTGGTGGACCTGCGCACATCAGGCCACGTGCCACCACCCCCGCCGTCCCTGTCAAAAACAATTTGACAGTGATCGCGGGATGGTCGCGCACGATCCAGATTTAGCCACGAGGTGCATCTTGTATTGTTTGTTGTCAGGGATGGTAGCCCTGCGCACGGCAGGGAATATGCTGTCACCCCCACCGTAGCTGTCAAAAACAATACAAAGTGTTCGCGGGCCGCACGAGCATGATTCAAGACTTTGCTCCAAAGTGTACTTTGTATTGTTTCATTTGACAGGGATGATGGGGGGGGCCGCATCGGGTTGGCCGCGTATGCTCCAAATGTGGAGGCAGAGTGCGGCTTGTTTTTTTGACAGGGATGGTGGAGGGCGGGCCCTCATGGTGTTGGCATGGTTACTGGTTGGACGCTGGCTGGGTGTGGGAGGGGGTGTATATTGATATGGAGCAGTGATGAACCACTCCCCGAAGGGGATTGGAAGAGGAGCCTCTCTAGACCACCTACGCCCAGAGGGCTGGTGGGCTTTGGAGGCACTGGAGGCCTCGGGGGTGCGTTGACGAGCTCGTCCTCCCCCGGGGGGGGTCTCAACCGCGATTTTGGACCCTGGGGGAGAGGGAAAACCTTTGGGGAGAGGGACAGGGAGAGGGACAGCCAAGTATCTCACACGCCTTATCACCCCGGGCATGCGAAGGCCCGCGGATGTGGCGCACATCTATGCGAATCAAATTTTCATCAACCCATGTGAAAACACGATTCGGTGCACATCCATTCGACCCAACCCTCAGCATGCTACTCAAAAACAATCCGGCGCATATCCCTCCAACCCACTCCTCACTATCCTACATAAAAATCATTCGGTGCGCATCCTCTGACCTTCAACATCGACCCACCCCCTGGCCCCCGAAAGCCCCTGGGCACGAAATGCACGAACAAACACATAATTCGATAGCAAATACGTAACAAGTCGATGTGTATCAGTCTTCTCGCCGACTCCAGATTTGGACCCAAGCGCTCCCAAGGGAGCCCCAGACGCTCCAAGACGCCCCAAACCATACGCTACAGTCTCTTCCCAAGCGCGCGAAGGCGCGCCGTCGCCACCAAAAGCAACAGCATCCACATCCTCATCGTCAACAAGGTGCAGATTAATTCAGATCGCGTTGACGCGTGGATCACACACGGTTTTCACAATGGGGATGTCGCTTTGCTGGCGCCGCACACCATCGCTTTATGTCATACATTGCCAAAACATTGATAGAAGGCGTGCCGTTTTCAAACATCGTCTCTCGCCCTGGTGCTGCGCATGTTCGGCTTCCATGTTCTCCGCAGCTGTGCGAGTGGATGGAGAGTCCTTTCGAGGACGGCAGGGGCACTAGGCAAGGAACCCTCAGAGAAGGAACCCAGGGCCTGGAAGCATATCACAGCCGCCCTCATCAGATCAGGCATCCTCCAGGATCTGCAGCTTCCTGGGCCCATCGGAGCCCAGATCATCCCGAACGGCCGCCAGAGGCCCGAGACGTTTTCGTCACATCCCTCACACGCTTCGTGGCCCCATAGGGAGCTCCGCTGAAGGCCCGTGGCCCCACAGGGAGCACCACCAAAGGCCCCAGGGCCACCGCCCGCATGCGTCACTCACACCCATTTCGGCACACTCCTCAAACGTTTCGAGGCCCCATAGGGAGCTCCACCGAAGGCCCCAGCGCGAAAACCACCTGGATCCCAGATCTTCGGCGATCTGCTTTTGCCCCCCCGGCGGCGTCTCCTCGGCCTCGGCCTCTGTGGGGCCCGGTGGCGGCGAGGACAGGGGGCGAGGAGGACGAGGAGGAGGAGGAGGAGGAGGAGGAGGACGAGGAGGAGGAGGAGGAGGAGGAGGAGGAGGAGGAGGAGAAGGAGTTGGAGGAGGACGAGGAGGAGAGGAGGAGGAGGAGGAGGAGGAGGACGAGGAGGAGGAGAGGAGGACGAGGAGGAGGAGGGACGAGGAGGAGGAGAAGGACGAGGAGGAGGAGGAGGAGGAGGAGGAGGAGGAGGAGGAGGAGGAGGAGGAGGAGGAGGGGGCCATCAAACAGAAACGGATCGGGGACGAATCGTTGCCCCTGTGGGGAAGCGGTCGGGGCCCCTGGGGTCGCGGGTTGGAGAAAACCAGGTGAACGGACGTCAGGGGATGTCGCTGCACTGGCTTCTTGGGGGCTTCTTGGGAGGCTCTCGTGGCCACGGCCTCAGACGTTCGAAGAAGCAAGGGCGCCATAAGCGTAAAACCTTGTGGCGCTCTGCGCGGAGCGCCACAAGGTTTGTGCTTATGGCGCTCGTTCTTCCTCTATCCGAGGCGGGAATGTATCCAGATCCACCGCCTGGATGGTCACTTTTCGGAGCCTCGGCAGGCGGTGGATGTGGACATGTTCGGGCCCCCGGGGGCCGAAGTGTATCCATATCCACCGCCCGCTGGGGCACCAGGACGTCGGTTCCCAGGCGGTGGATATGGATAAATCCCCGCCTCGCACTCTAGACATGCGATGATTTGAGTTCTGGCAGTGCTCGGTCCCCAGAATTCCCGACCCCCTCGACGGAGCCAGCTTTTCAGCCGGAGGCGTTCTTTGACGGTCCATGGGGGCCGTCAAGGGCCCCTCAGAGGCCGCAAACGACGAACCGATTCCGCCCGGATGTTTTTTCAAGGCGTTGCATGTCTTGGGCTGGATTCGCCTTGAAGTTCTGGGCCCAGCGTACCCTGGGATAGGTCCAAGGGGTCGCGGTATCGATGCCGTTTTGAAGTCCCAGGGCCGACCCCCCCCGTCGCGGGTAGGCTGAAGTCGGGCATGTCCCTCTACAGGAGGAACATTCAAAAAAATATATAAAAAGTAGTCTGGTGATACTTTTGACTATTTGTTGTGATTTTGCTGACTATCTTTGATTTTTCTTCCAGAATCCGCCTGTAGGAGGACGTGCCCGACCTGAGCGTAGGCGCCGAAGGCGCCGCCGCGGCGCACTGGCGAGAGGTGCGTGTGCGTGTGTGTGTGTGTGTGTGTGTGTGTGTGTGTGTGTGTGTGTGTGTGTGTGTGCGTGTGTGTGTGTGTGTGTGCGTGTGTGTGTGTGTGTGTGTGTGTGTGCGTGTGCCACAGCTGGGCCGCATCGCAGCGGCGCGCTGCTCTCCAAGGGGCACCCCCGCGTCTTTGCGCCTCGGCGCGGCGCACCGGCGAGGGGTGCGCGTGCGCTACGGCCGAGCCGCACCACAGGGTATACGCTGCTCTCCAGGGGGCACCCCCGCATCCCTGCGCCTCGGCGCGGCGCACCGGCGAGGGGTGCGTGTGCCGCAGCTGCTCCCCCTTCCCCTCGTGCCGCCGCCCCCGTCTTCTTTCCCTCCCTCTTGCGCGCCGGACAGTTCGCCTCTCGGCTGCCCCGATGTGCCTCGCGCTGGTGTGGACTGCCTCTGCCTCGCCGCCGACGGAAGAGAGTGTGCTGCAGCTGGGCCGTATCACAGGGGTGCGCTGCTCTCCAAGGCATTCTGGCCCCCTTTTGTTGAGACGAGGCCAGGGCGAGGCCAGGACGAGGAGAAAGTCGGGTGAGGATGGGTCGAGAGTCTCTGAGATGCGGCGGCTCCGGAGCACGTGCTGGCACCGCGGCCTTCTCAGAGCGTTCCGGAGCGCTCTGAAAGCGCTCTTGAACGAATCTATCCTCGTCCTAACCCCGTCCTACCTTGTGGCCATGGGCCAGGGGCTTCCATCTTCGGCCTCGATCTGGGGTCCGTGGCCATGTTGGCTTGAGCCATTCCGCTCACAAGCAGTCTTGGAAGGGGGGCAGCGCAGCGCCTCGGTGGCCGCAGGCGGTGGTGGCAGCTCGATCATGTCGCTGTCATCCTCGCTGCTGTCGCGGCAGCTCGCCGAAGAGGTGACTCTGCCGGGCCCTGTCCGCAGGCGTTTTGGACCCGCTAGGGGGCCACATGCGAACCCTACCCCTACCCCCCACGATTTCTGAAGGGGAGGGTGGGGTTCACTTCGCTCGGGAGCTCCCGAACGAAGTGAACCCCACCCTCCCCCTCAGAAATCGTGGGGGGTAGGGGTACGGTTCGCATGTGGCCCCCTACCCGCGACCGTGGCTGCCGCCTGTCTTTCTGGATGCGCCGTGCTGCTCTTTGCTCCAAGGGGTGCGACCACGGGGCCGCTGCCTCCCGTCGCCGAGTCCGCTGCGGCAGGGCAGGCAGTACCGAAGTACACGCACGCGCAGTTCTTGGGGTTCAACCTCTTCACGGCCCCTGGCACCTCTGCCGACGGCTGCTTCGGCGACGACGCTTCCGTGGAGGGCTCGTGCTACCTGGGAAGCGACGAGGTCAGCGAGGACGTCAACAGACGGTTCGACATAATGCTCGAGGCCATCGAAAGCGCCTTCGCCTCGGAGCATCTGGACCGAAGCCCGACCACGCTCAAAGTCTTCACTGCGCCCGAATTCTACTGGCGGGGCCCCCACGGGGCTTACCGTCCCGACCGCCCTGGTACGGTCCAAGTTCTCAACAAAATTGAGCAGGTTGTGCTCGCAACCTTGAGCGACCCAAGATTCAACGATTGGCTCTTTATGACCGGCACGGTGGTCGCCGCAATGCCAGCAGATCCGAGGTTTGTGCACATGTCGAACCTACCCTTCCAGAACATCAGCTACTACAACTTCGCTAACATCCATGTTGGAGGGAGCAAGCGTCATCTGTTGGTATTCAAGCATTTTATCAGCAGCATCGACTTCCTCAAGGCAAGCCCGGAGACCTTGCGGCATGACTTTGTTCAGCCTCCTCCAGGCATGAGCCATGAATTCTGCAAGTTGCACCCGGACTCGAACGGCTGCCTCTACGACACTCCGCCACTAGAATTGCTGGAAAAGTTTGGTCTCAACAGCAGTGTGATTCTGAAGGATGGTATTTTTGAGGTCGGAGGAGTCAAGATTGGTGCCGAGATTTGTCTCGACCACGCCAAGGGTGCACTCTGTGAGGCGTTGGGCCCTGACGGGACCGTGGACCTGCAGCTGGTGGTTTCTGCCGGCATGAACATCGCCACGGGTCCAGTTTGCACGAAAGCGGGGTCACCGGTCTTCCTTTCCGACGGCTTCGCGCGCACAGAGCTGAGCTTGAACGGCTTTGGTGGCGGCCGGAATTCCATGGAGGTGC